CCCCCCCCCCCCCCCCCAACAGAAATGGGAGTCGTTTTGAGTAGCTAGATCGCAGTTTACACGGGGGTGTTTTGAGATATATTACCTAGTGTAAATACAAATAAGCACAAAGTCTGAAAATACCTTCATTGTTTGGCAGAGATAATTAAATGCTACATACCTTACCGGTTAGGTTATATTAATTTGTCTTCTATACGTACAACTGGCATCTAGAAAAGAGAAGGGCTTTTCTAATGAATGGCTGTCCTCGGGTAGGTTTATATTCACCTGCACTGTAAAACTTAACATGTTTATTGCATAGTCTGCCTTTGGTAAGTGAGTGACTTAATACTTTTTAAGATTCGAGTCCCTAAGTTAAATGTACATAATGTTGCCATAAGACATGCATAACAAAAAATCCTTTTGCCCGGGGATACGGCATAATAAATCATTTCCCTGCTCAGTCTTGATTATACCAGTATTGCGACAGGAGTTCTGGATGGATGCTACACAATAATGTAGCACCTGTTTCATGAATAGGTTAATGTCTGCAAGGATAGTGCAGATCACTATACGTTTATGTGCGGTTTTGAAAACGAGATTCTGATCAAAATATAAAAATCGACGTAAATACGGTGCGTTTTATAAGCATTTTGTACGGGATTGTATAAAATGGCATCGTTTTTCGTGTACACAAAAACGATACGCTGTAAAATAGTAATGATCAGATAAACATGCGAAACGCCGCCCAAGAGCCAGTTAAAAGTACACATAAGAGGATTTTTGCGCCTAAATTCATATATTACGAATTATTCAAGACCAACTAAACTATAACAGTGTTTAGCGTGACTAATTTACAAACGGTTCTAAAATCACAACGTGAATAAAAATGCAGTTCAGATTAATTCTACTTGTTCCACATGGCGAAGAGAGATCACTGCATTTGATGGTAGAGACGGTCTCGGAAATTCCAAACATCTGCTGCTATCTCGTTATAAATTTACCGACTACTTTCTCGTAACCGCCCGGATGTGGTCAGAGTGTCCGCCTTCGCACCAAGAGGACGTGGGTTTGGCCCCGTCCGATGACATACTGGTACCAGACCTTCAAAAACGGTTCCTGTTGTCTCCCCGCTTGGTACTCAGCACTTACGGGTTGAATCAGGGGTGAAGTTCCTAGCATGACGGCGAAAGATATTGTCCTTTTTATAACATTGAGCGCCTCATGCGGCAGTATAGCTGTATTCTCTCCAGGGAGGTGAGAGCGTCAACACCCAGTCTGTATCTCGGCCAAAAATAGTCAGGCGTCTATAGTAAAATTTTACCAGGTCAGGAAAGATAAGATTGCCCATTTTTACTTTTTCACACCATTTTTTCCTGAATTTTTTTAAATTGGTCAATCAAATAAAAAAATGATACTCATCTTCTACTTTTTTATCGTTACAGAGAATACAGAGTCTATCTTCTAATTTTTTGTTAACAAAGCGGACTGTTTTTACATATTATGGAAGAACTCCTGATCTAAAAAAAAAAATAATAATTTTGATTGACGGAACTGATTCATTTACCATTGTATGTGAAAATTGTTGTTCACCCCAAGAAAATTCCTTATTTGGCCAATATAAACAGTTTCTTTTCCTATAAATTTCGTTAAAAATAACACTTCGGTTTCAAATTAAGGCAAGCACAGAGTAGAGGCTTGGGAAGCAATTTAGTACAACTAACTTAAGACCTAGGGACACATTGGCCTACGTAGGTCAGCTTATCTCTACGGAGGCTCTCCCTAAGTGCAATCAGCTTAACAGATTAGCACGCCTCCTCCTGGTGTTAACTCGAATACAAAAAAGCTGGTGATTATAAGAGTAACTTGAAAACAAGTAACCATTCAACACATTAGAACAGGAAGTAGTTAAAGAGGTAATTGGATGCTGTTATTGTTGGCATCTCTCCTTTTCTGCTAGAATCGCGCTGGAGTTTAAAGTTTCAGGGCACTTAAAGACCTTGCGTTTGTCCAAGAATGACAGTTTTAGAAACACTGAAAATATTTCATCTCAATGCATATTATGTGCTTCTCTTTTTCTCTTCTTTTTTTTTCTTCTTTTCTTTTTCAAGGCGAATTTTCATATAAGTCCCACCGCACATAAGTATTAGCCCTATTTTGATCTGATTTTGAGTGGAGTTGGTCAACAACATGCAGTCCCAGTACATCAGGTCTCAAGTGGACTGCGTTTTTCACTATTTTGTAACCATATCAATAGACAGAACATATTACTCCAAATGTTACTACGCTGTAGTTTTCTGCCCCTCAGTTGTTGACTCACATGCCGCTTAACATTTCAATAGAAAATATATTCAGTGCAAGTTACCCAATAGATACTTAAATAAAGTGCTTATATTCTTTTCGCCATTTCTTTCTTCACAGTTGGTGACAAGATACGTGACTCGTACGGTAATTGAATGTTGGAAATATATAAAATGATGATAAAGACCCTACCACCCCAAACACCGATTAAAATGTTGTTTTGTATAAATGCACTGTAACTGCAGTTTTTAAAGGCCTCTGTGAAGTTTTGTTCAATTCTATGAAAGTTTCCATCCGGATAATTTGTTTTTGAAAAGAAAAGAAAAGAAAATATTAACATCCATGAACATAATGGTGAAAACTTTTTCATGAGGACCTTTTACCGCACCAGCTTTTATCACTTAGGTCTGTTGAACCCCTAGTTGCCACTATTTTTACTCTCTTGTGGGCACGCAGTTAACACTTGGGATTTAAAACACATTTTTACATGATGTGATGAAGTAAAACGAACACTCCATAACCATATCATAACAAAAAAGACGAATCATGGTTCACCATTCATGGACCCGCAAACAGCAGCTTTCACAGGAACTAATAATATGGGCACTTTAATGGGACTATAAGTAGTTCTTATCGAGCCAATTCCATGAAACCATCCACAAAGCAGCACAGCTCAAGCTTGTGAAAGCAGGAGAGAAAAAACGGCAAAGAATGTCAGTGAAACTTGTACTACAACTTGTGTTTGTTCAAATTGCGAGGCTCTCTTGGGGACAAGATTGTACACCACCGGTAGGTGAGCTTTTAGGATGATTTAAAGCACATCTTTTGGTGGTGATTGTTAGTTGCAAGTTTTTTTAAAAAAATCTATTTATGGATAAACAAGAAATTGGTTTTGATGAAAAGGAAGGAGAGAAATTAGCATTGTGCCAATATTAAAGGGATAACAACTCTTCGTATGAGATTCATATTTCACAATACATTGTAAACAACTCGTTGAAATATAGTAGATTCTGTTCTACCACCAAAACAGCGGTAATCGCAATTATTCTGGAATCTGTGCTTGCCATCGGACCACGTGACTATCATAGATGGCGATACTCTGTAATAATCTCTTAAGAGATTCATTAGAGAAACAGACGACACTGTTTTGCTGCTTACAATAGCTTCCTCGGAGGTCGTCTTGGTATTTTAACCTGCTAAAACCGGTCTGCTGTTGCATTGGCTGTACGTGGTGTACGTGGTGGAGCATTATCATCAGGCCTACCCAACTACCAGACTAGGCACCGAATGATCCTGAATTCACCGGTAAATCGAACCACACTACCCGTTTTCAAGGTGTGTATCAGTACGCATTTCACACTATCAGACGCGACACCGCTCTTGCCTAGTACGCGATGTGATAGTGACGATTCTCAGCATTGCATCACCACTCAAAATTTGTTCAGGGTATGATACTGTGTAATGCGATCTGACACACACACCTTGAAAACGGGTAGTGTGGTTTGATCTACCGGTGAATTCAGGATCATTGGTGCCGAGTCTGGTAGTTGGGTAGGCCTGATCATGCTGAAATATTTTCAAGGTAAATGACATTATTAGTTATGAGTTTTAATTAATTGCTACAATTGTATCTTTTTGCAGGGCTTCCCTCATCTGAAATGTACTGTTAGTAAGTTGACCTTTTGTGATTACTAGATACCATAAAATTGTTGAACAAAATATATACATACGTACGTACATAATTTAGGAAATGGTTAATAATTTATTTTTGCCAAAATGATGTCTGCTTTTTTAAATAGTCATTACTAGTCATTCACGGCACAAAATATCTTTTGATTAAACTAAATATTATTTTACAATTGCTGTCTTATAATTTTTTACATTGACAATATTGAAGAGGAGAATGTAATAAAGGCAAGATTACAGAGATTTAATGTTAAAATTGTTAATAAAAAGTGATGCGTATTATTTTCGTAATACATAATGATATGTAACAGACGGACTCTCTTGTGGTTTAAAATTTATTTATTGGTTTTATATATTACTACGAGTGCATATTTATACATAGTTACCGATACATTTACCTTGTATTGAATAATTAATTTATTCTTTAATTTAATATTTTATTTATTTTCAGGTAAAAACTGTTTAGATGCCTGGCTATCACGTTTGACTAACAATAATCTCAATCCTAGTGCTCCCACTGAGTTGACTGTAAAATCCATCCTTAAAGATTATGTTTACGATGGGCGTATCGTTTCTAATTATCCTGCTTTCAGTATCACTTGGAAGGCAGCTGATGATGGTAAGAATTGTTTAGATGTGATAATCAACCCTTTGTCAGATAAGGTTTAAAATATATATTGGTATACATGCTGTCAGTGTTGATGTATTTTGTTAGAGGCACCAAGCATAACTGCATGTTTTAATACCAGAATTATGTAAGGACCCATACACATTGAAACTATTGGTCTACGAAGATTGTTGTTCACCTTTCAGTTGGATTCCGTTACACAAAGGGATTTAAAGTGACCATATTGTTTTTAAATGGGTACAGAGTGAACGAAAATATATGTAGATTCTACAACATGACTGAGGCTGTCTGGAATGATTCGGACCACTTGAACCAACCAAAAGTAAGTGATGCTTTTTATTTTTATACAAGCATGTACCTGTATATTGGTAAATGTTTGTAATGTATTTTGGTGAACTTACATCTGATTGTATATTGATTTCTGCACTAATAAATCATGCAGACGTACTCTCTCTCTCTCCCTTTCTCTCCCTCTCTCTCTCTCGCTCTCTCTCTCTCACACACACACACACAAACACACACATACACACACATTAGCACTATACGTGCCAACAAACATGCATATATGCACAAGAACTTTCACAAGCATATAAACAATAAATTAAGGTAAAATCCGTGTGGTTTTTGGAAGTTAAATTCTGATTCCTTGCATTTATTATATACCATAACCAATTTGATAATTGAATCATAAATAGTTTTCTTGTGTTTCAACCCCAAGTTCCACTTCTTCATAAATAACCTCCCGCCAAGCACAGACTGCTGGGTTGAAGTTTGCAGCCTCCCCATGCCAAGCCCTGATCGCACACAACCCTGTGTACATAGGATCCGAACGACATTCAGAGGCAAAGGTGGGTCTTAAGGCGCATTCCCATAGATTTAAGATCGATCTATCCCCGTGGGGAGTCTCACTAGATTACTGTCAGATAATCCGACTTAAATGTCCGTCCCGCCTACTACAAGCTGTAAGGGAGTAATTAACTTCCGTGCGCTGTCGCCTGACTGCAATTTAGCGTGAACCCCCAGGAAGTTAGGTCGATCTAGTAAGATCGATCTTAATCTCTGCGAATGCACTCTTACTCAAAGACTCAAGGTGATTAATCGATCTTTTTAATGGGGAAAATTGTGAATTTTGCAGAAACTGTATTATTTTAGCTTATACAGAGAAGGCTAAAATTTTGGTCTAAAGTTGAGATAAATTTTCGGAAAAACAAGACTCTGATTTTATTTTATCAATTTATCTTTATCAATTTTTTCAGCATCCTGCTAGCACAAGAGTGTCTGATATCAACTCGAGCCATGTAATAAGGTTTCAGGAATTCAGGCAAAAATTGAACTAAATCTGGCAAGACCAAGAGCATCATTATGTCACGTGAACACGTGATCATGAACACCCTGGAAAATATTACAACTGATACAATTAACGGGCTTTTGGTGGTTCGTCAAAAAAGGAAAAATACACACACACACACGTTGAGGGTTCGTAAACTGTCCTCTTCGTAAACTATCACATTTATTCTATAGCTTTGTTTAGTTGAAAAAAAAAACAAAATTGGGACCCGTTTCATCAGCTTTATGAATTTTATAAGTGTAATAAAATCTTGACACACAATTATCAGCAACTTCCTTTATGCATTTAATATTACACATGCTATGTAATCTGCCATTAAGAATGCCTCTACTCTCGCGTGCACGCAAAGACACACTCTCCCTTTCCTCAAGACCATATGACGTAGGTGTAAATATGTCTTCCTAGAATTCACCCATTATGCTATAAACTACAAGAATACGTTGCGGAACGCAATAAGCGAAAATATATCGAGACAAAAAGTAATAATAAATGAATGCATACAAAACATCAAAGTGTTGGCGATACGGAATTATTTTCGACAAAATGTCTTAAGTTTGATTAACTGCTGTAGTCTTGTCAATTCAAAATGTTTTCCCAAAATATAGCGTCTTTACTTCTTTATCCACCAAAGCATTAGTTAAGGCCTCGGTCACAACCGGACGCACGAATTTCAGGATCGTACGTCCCCTGCGATTTTTGGGTGTTGCGGTGGCCCTGGAGGTCGTAGAGGTAGAGAAAAGTCTGCCTTGCGAGTCGCAAGGGCCACATGAGATGTCCTTTCAACCTGGGACACTAATTGCAAGGGGTGATGACCGTGGAAGTTGTACTCTTTTCTTGAGTTTGTCTTGCTTCCTGTGTACGTGGCACACACTCATCACTTACGAAGGGAATGCAACGCACGGCGAAAGTAGTGCCCTTCTGCATCAGTTTTGCTTCAAACTTGCCTCACACGTTTGGGTGACGTACTGACGGCGTACGTCAGTTTTGCTTCCTGTTCTCCTCTTCTTTCTTCTTCTTCTTCCCTTTTTTCTACTATGTAAGCTTCTTTCTCTTGCCTTTTGCTATTTTTGGAGGCATATTAGAAACTAAATTGAGCAAAAATTTGTAAAAAATTTGAAAATTGTTGTACACGTTACACAGTCGACATTCATTGTAAAGACACAAGCGTGCGTCGTGAGCACCCGGGGGTGACGCACGTGTGACGCATTCCCGGTGTGCTCTCGACTTTGTTCGTTAGTTGTGAGGGCGTGCGCCTTACTCAACACGTAAAGCGCACTTGCTCCTTCATTGCTTGCGACGTGCGTCGTGCACAACGCGCGTCTCTCTTGCTAACTCCGTGCGAGGGGAGCAAGTTACGCTTGCGGCCTCGCTGTTCGCAGGCTATTCGTAGAATCTTTTGGACATTTTCAATTGCAACATCCTCCTCCGTACAGCCCGTAAGAGCCCGTGCGGCCGGTTGTGACCGAGGCTATCGCCTGCGGCTCGACAATACACTCGTAATATTTCACGTACAGCTCGACGAATCGTATTGTATCTATCACATAAAGCGAGATGTTTTACACACGCAGTATACATAGCGTTTCCTTGCCTCAGTGCAGCGTTCATGACCTGTACCTGAACAACGACAACTCAGCTCTGACCTCGGTAACCTTCATCGAGTCCAAACAAACAGTGGTTCCGATTTTTACCAAAAAATTGTAATCTAAAAATTTAAACGCAATAAACGTATGTTTAAAAAACTTTCCGGTAAGCTTCTTTCTTAATTTATCAGGTGCGCGTAACTTGTGACTATGTATTTTCCTATTCACACACTGCATTTTGAATTGCGATTACGCCAAATCTAGATTCTATGGTTGTAAAGCCTCTCTTGTGAACGAGACGCCTGATCACGATTCAAACAAAAATAGTGTGAACGGGACTTACCTCGCTTTAAATTAATTTCCAAACAACTAATGGCCATTTAATTTTTATCATCACACTGGACAAATTTAAAAAGAAACTTTGCGAGAGAAACAATTGCTTCTAAAATTGCTGACGTTATAAAGCTTTCCGACCATTTTGCCTATATTGCCAGCATTTGTGAAAAAACAAAACACACATGGTTCAAGTCATTGCGTTAGCTGCGACGGAGTGTTGAGCACGACACATTCTACGTACATTGCGTTAGGTTCAGTTAAGCCCCCCCCCCCCCTCCTTTGTTTTAAGATGTGATATATGTCACAATTTTGTGATAGATGTCCCAGTGATAATATGTTTCGTGGATTGAGTTGTGGACTGTAGGTCTTAATACGTGGACTTTTGTAATATTATATATTTTAATATATAAAATTTCAATAGTCCACGTATTATTTAAAAATTGCCAGAATTAGAGAGAGAGCTTTGATAATTACTGTGCCTCCTTTTGATTTATCCCATATTTTGTTCATATTTCTTGTCTATTTTAAAACTATTTGTTTGGTTAAACACGTGAATTAGATGCCCACATGTGCAGTTGGCTTCTTTCACGTTTGAAGATGCTTTTATTCGCTTTAAAAAGCTTTCAATTGCACATTGTCCCTACAAATGAAAATTCTTATCGTCTTAGACATGAAAAGATTTTTATACATTTGATTATAAGATAAGATAAGATAAGATAAGATAAGAGTTTATTCAGCCATTAATAAATTAATATGTAAAAATTCATATAAAACGTAAATCGGACTGCTATTCGGGTTACATATTATAAATTATAAATTTCCATTTTTTTGTTAAAGTAAGATACAGCAGATGGGTAAAAACTCTTTAAAAACCTTTTAGATCCCTTAAAAGTTAAAAGTCTGCAGTTGCTAGGTAAAAATTTAAAAAGCCCATGTGCAGGTTGGGTATAGTCAGACATGATTTTCTCTGTTTTTATTACTAATCTGTTAGTATAGATGGCACCTAGAGAGGGGAGTTCCAGACCGATGATTTTACCGCACGTTGAAGTGACCATATCTAGACGCTTGCGTTCTTCTTCAGTGGCCCGCCCATACCATGCTATAATTGCAAATGTTAATATACTTTCTATAATGCATTTATAAAAGTTTGTTAAAATCATTTCATTTGAAGTAAAATCCTTCAACTTTAAAAAATATACCCTTTGCATCCCTTTTTTAAAACTGTTTGTCTATGTGGTCCTTCCATGTAAGTGAGCTATTGAATTCTACCCCAGTAGTCTAAAAGTCGGTTTAATAAGCCAATTAAAGTGGTGTCGTCTGCAAACTTCACAATGCAATTACTCTCGTGAGATGAAACGCAATCATACGTGAACATGCTGTACAGACATGGTGACAGAACACAACCCTGAGGCGCACCTGTATTTAAAACCACAATATCAGAAGTACTTGTACCCACTTTCACAGCTTGTCTCCTGTCTAATAAAAAAATCTAAAACCCAACTGCATAAAAAATGAAGGAAATTCCAGTTCGTTTAAAAGCTTTGCATAAAGATTGAACTGTTTAAAATTCTATAATGTAGCTGTTGATTGAAGAAGCAATACAAGCGTCAATAAACATCAAATTATACTGGAATCATAAAGTAAAATGATGAAAATGCATGAATTAACGATTTGTATGCTAACAACATGACTGTTCAGGGGGGGACAGGTGCTATATGTGACAACTGCAGAAAGACCACATTTCTGATGGAGGCGAATGTTTCATCTGTATGCGTACTTACATCATTATGCATAAGTAAAGAGTTGGCAAAATAGACAATTCAAGGCATTTTTGTCTTTGGTTTAATTGCCTGATGTCGATCGAAAAAGAAGAGTAAAAAAGACAAAAAGAAAAAAAGATAGGCCGACAGTAGTCATACGAATTGAAATTTTATTTCAACTAGAATTGAAAAAGAAAAAAACAACAAATACTAAGATGACATATTTACCGGTCGTGACAACGTTAAGGTGGCTTTAAGCCAATAAAAAAGGTAGGTAAGAAAAAGATGGTCTACCAGATGCTAAGCCTAATAAAATGATATGTGTGAGAGAGAGAGAGAGAGAGAGAGAGAGAGAGAGAGACCGAGAGAGAAAGAGAGAGAGAGAGAAAGAGAGAGGGAGAGAGGTTGCGTGCTTAACATTCGCATTTTCCCCCTGGAAATCCGAGCGCTATGAACGTCATTAGCAATTCACTTCAAGTGGTCTGATCCTTGAAGCCATCACAACTACGTCAGTGTTGTTTGAGACTGACCCTTAGCTTCATGTCTGCCAGGAGATAATCTGTCAGCTGCCAAGAAACCCATCTCTCGGAAAATATAAGCAAATATGCCACAGGCGACGCGGACATCTTATCTAAAGACGGAAACGAGGAAGTAACACGCGGATGTTTATAAGATGAAATTGACATGAAATATACATGAAATCGATCAGATTAAGAAATTGTATAAGAGAACTTTAGAATAAGTAGGCCTACAAATAGAAGATACGGAGAAGTGTGTCCGATATGAGAGCCAGAGTTCTTATTTTGGAATTCTCAGAAAGAAATGAAAAGAAGTTGGTTCACTGAAAAGAAAAGAAGTTAACAGATAAGACAAGACCGCTTTTAAAGGTTAGCCAAGAAAAGAAAAAACAGTAAAGAATGATAATCGAACCGCTGTTACCAAACAATGTAACGGAATGTCGATAAGATTATACATTACGCTTGCTTAACATAAGTAAATTAAAATAAAATAAAGATACATGTAGGCCTACACGGCTTCACCTTAAAAAATTAAAACAACTACAATTGACATCCAGGCAATAAACAGACAGACAAACAAATAAATAATTTACTGGTTGATTTTAAAAAGGTACAACTTATATACAGGATGTGCCAGTATACCACGAAATAGACCACTGTATAATAATAATAAAAAAAAAACAATTGAATATCGATTCCCAAGGAAAATCTATAAAAATACTTTAAGAGAACGCAAATTATTTTTATGTACTTGACTTTTTAAGTGTCCATTGAAACAATTTGGGGAGTGTCGGCTTTAAAAAGGTTTTACATAGAAACTGTCACTCTGCTACATTTAAAATCAACGGAATTTAGATAATGTTGTCGTCATAGTTTCTTTTCTCTTAAGATATCTATTTTCAGTCCGAAACTTCATGCAAAAACACTGATATCACCTTTCAAAGGAAAAAAATATGAAAACAAAAAAACAACTTCGCCCATGTTTTTGAGTTCCCACTGGAAATCCACTGAGCTGGCGCGACGTGTGTTTTTTCTCAGGACACGCTTTGTTAGAAGTAGTCGTGGGTGAAGTAGTTATTACATCTTTTGATCTCTTTTATCAGCCCTTTTGTCTTCAATTATGTAATTTCTTGTGTCAGCACCATCCCACAGTGTACTGTGAGCCAACTGATAATCTTAATCCCTGATTTTTGGTGACAAGCTCCTTTAGCAAAACTGTCCCAAATAGGCCAACTAAGATCTTGTGTTTGTCTATGTATGAAAATGTTTATAACAGCTCGATGTTTATCTTATTTTTCCTAATTTTTTTTTTTTTAAGTTGGTCCTCTTGTAAAGCGAATGTTTTGAAAAATAGCCCCGCCTCGCATTATTGGCTCATTAATTTTGTGTTGTGATTTCAAGTAGAGTTAGTCAACAACATCTAGTACCAGTACGTCAGGTCTCGAGTGGACTGCGTATTTTTTCAAACGCGTTTTCCATCTTTTAATGGGCCTTACCCTATAGCAATTGACATAGCATAACACCAACACCACTAGTAGCTTAAATTTCCACTCTTCAACTGTTGACTGACATACCGCTAAACATTTCTAAATAATAAAAATATGTAGGGCCTATATCAAGTGCAAGTGACACAATAGATCCAAGGTTAAAGTAATTTATAGTTCACCATTTCTCTCTTCACAGTAAGTGACAAGATACGTAACTATTTAGTGCCCTAATTGAATGTTTAAATAATGATATGATTTAGCCCCTATTTAGGCCCTATCACCCCAAACTCCAATTATTTCTTTTTCGATTTGTAGCCTAACTGCAATTAAAAAAAAAAATCCATGGAGCCATGGAGTTCTTCTTCAGTTCTATGAAAGTTTCCATTCTGACAATTTGTTCTTGAAAACAAAAGAAAATAGAATATTTAACATCTTAACATAATTATCCTTCATAAGGACCTTTATTAAACCACACCAAATTTCTTAACGATCTGTTGACCCCCACCTTGCCACTTTTTTTACTCTCTCTTGGGGCCGCACTTAACACTAGTGATCTTTAACACATTATAACATAAATATGAGGTAAAACGAACATTCCATAGCCATACGACATTGAAAAACGACGAATTACGGTCCAGCATACGCACCCCGCAAGCGGCAGCTTATGCTGAAGGTGTTAATCCGGGCACTTTAAGGGGACTATAAATAGTTCTTTTTGACCCAATTCCAAGAAACCGTCCACAAACCAGCGCAGCTCAAGCATGTGAAGCTGGAGAGAAGAAACAGCTAAAATGTCAGTGAAACTTGTACTAGAACTTGTTTTTGTTCTAATTGCGAGGCTCTCTTGGGCACAAGATTGTACACCACTGGTAAGTGAAACTTTGGTATGATTTAAAGCACACCTTCTGATGAGGGTTGTTAGTTACCGCACTAGTAAATAGTTTGATACTTCCTTGTTGATCAAGTGGAAAGAAAGTAGTAAAATCTTCGGTCAACTTCGCAGTTTAAGTCGAATGCTTTCGCGTATTTTACAGCGTTGAAGTTGAGGCAGGAGTTGTAGAATGTATATAAGTCAATCAGTACGTAGAAAAAAGCATTTGTTTATATACTGGGGGCAGGAAAACACAAGTTGTTTACTAGGCGAAGTTGCAACAGAGCATGAACGTGCGGTTCACCGCGAAGCACATGCAGTCAGAGAGCAGTGCGTTTAAGTGTTGGTGCATAAGAGTTAAACGGTTTAACAAACGGCCACGGAGCTTTGAGTTTTAATATTTTTGAACATCAGTGATATTCAGAACTTCTAGGACAAAACTTTACCAGCAAGGGCAATATATAGATTTAGAGCAATGTCCAGGTAGTTCAAACAGAATGTTTATTAAAGATGGTGCCTTTTGAATGAGTTATAAAAAGATTATAGGTCAGAATAAAGTGCATAATGATTTTACAGTGCTTTTACATCTAACTGCAAATAAATGAAAATAATGCTGTTCAGGTGATTTTTAACACACTTTTTATGTTTTATGTGAAATGGATTGAATTAATTGCTGTACGTTAGTTTTTTTTTTTTTACAGCATCAGTTACATCTTTGCAATTGTATTTGTAAATATTGTTGAAACAACACATAAAATTGCTCATTTTTAAACTTTTTAACACAATTTTTATACTTCCATGAACTTTGTTAAAGAGAACTGCTATGTCTTTAATTTATTTCAAATTGCTATAGTGAAACGTTAACTATTTCCAATAGGGACATAATTATGTGAAGATAGTATATCTCAGCAGAGTTAAACTATAGCATAGTATCCCAGTAGAGTTAAACTATTGCCTGCACAGCACAAGTCTAACTGACTGCATTAAATGGAAATATAGTTATAAGATGGAATACTGCTGAGCTGGTGACTTGGGATCAATTTCTAAATCTTGGTCTGAATGCATTTATGTTCATCCTAAATATATACAGGGGATATATTAAGTCTTTATAATGTTCCTGATAATTTGATAGACTGCAGAAGATGTGCTATTAGCTGGTAAGGAGTGGATGATGGGCTAAAACTGCAGCTGGTAGTAACGATAAAGGATATGTACGTCTTACTCTAAAGTAAAATATCCGTGTATGCCTGAAGTGGAAAAACTACCCCAAGGTATTTGGAAGGTTGGAAATTGACATTTTATACTGTTTTGGGCTTGGAGGGTTGATAAACATGATTCTAGGATTCCTTGTGTAAAATTGATCTATCCTGTTTTCTGGCCTGCATTTGTTTTGGCTTTCTTTTATATCCACTGGCCTTTATGCTTTTGCAATGAACATGTAGAAATTAACAATTATAAGGAAATAAATAATTCACAGAGTGGCATCTGATCATTGTATTCCATTGATTTTGCAACTGAAATATGAAACTAGAATGTAATTTTGAATAATATTTGATTGATGATATGCAGGTTTTAGGTATTGTTGGTCACTAGCTACATGCTTGAACCTTACACAGTTCTTTCTGAATGACATTTATCATATCAAACTTAGCCCTTTGTTCCCTTTGACAGTTGATTTTATTTTGAGAGATCAGTTGATGCATTTCTGAATAATACTGCTATTTGGTGAATGGGCTAAATACCATGTTTTGTTAAAAGGTGGAACATATGTTTGTAGCATTTGTAGTGGAGCATAATTTGTTAAAGAGGTGCATTAGCACGAAGTCCTTTTTAGCAGTGTTATTTAATGTAATGGGATAAAGCCAAGCAATTTTATTCATCCTCAAGCTATTAGTAAGTGATTTTTATGGGAAATATCTGCAAATTAGTATTTATATGCAAAGATGCTGAGCAAAATAAGAAAATGAGTATCTATATAGTACATGCTTCTCCTGCAGCAAAATTCCAGACTTTTTGGTGTAGTTACGTATGGCTTTTTACATTTTTTAATGTAATTAAAATTACAAGAGACCAAACTCATCCTTATTTGATTTCTTTTATTGAAGTTGCAGTCAGCGATGATGCAGTCTGTTGGCAAATGAGTATAACAATTACAAAAGTGTGAATTTACTTTAAGTAAAAAAATATTAGCTCTGTATTAAAGGTAATTTTGTAAAAAAAAAAACAGGATATTGCTTATAAGTGATATTTATGCCAATTCAGTCATTTATTTTGACCTCTCTTTCTCTCTCTCTCTCTCCCTCTTTCTTAGTGATTTTACACAACTCACACAGGTATTAGTAGTTTTTTGTGTGTACTTAATCTCCTATAAAAGGCGAATTTATCCCTACTCTCACCAGCAGTGTATTTCACGCATTTTACTGTTAAGTGACCTGATCGTAGCCTGAAAATAGCCTGCAGGCCTACAGTAGGTAAGGATGTTACCTGGGGTGTGATTTAGTGCCTCTGACTTTAATATAGAATGTTAACTCTTATTCTCGGCCTTTAAATCAGTTTGTGAGTGGTAAGGACAAAAGGTTAGAGGGAGAGGAGCATGTTAGACTTTTTTATTTTCAAATATTGTTTCTGAAAGTTAGGCTGATATATCAGGGTGATACAGAAGTATAAAATGGAGTTTAATTACCAGAACTATATCAATTTCTCTCTTGACATAAAACATGCAAAATAATTCTTTGAATTGGACTGTAACCGACTTGTCTCCTGTCAAAGCAGAGTAAAACGATAGAGTTAAAGTTTAGACTTGCTTTCAGTATATATATATATTTTTTTTTGTGAAAACAGACCCCAGTTTGGAGAGACCAGGGAATTATATCGGATATAATTCCCTGGAGAGACTAAGAATTCAAGTATTACTCATAGCCTCCATATTGACATTCAATCACCATCCTCTCTTCCTGATGGGTAATCAAGGTAGATAGGGCAAGTAAGATGTAAACAGGTGATTCAACAGACATATAAACACAGCTAATATATCAGCATAGTTGAACCTAATTATCTTAATGGAACTGATGTATTGGGGAAATGATAGGGTCTGGAGGAGTGGGGCGGGGGGGGGGGGGGTTGAGGGGGAAG